GATCATTTCTTTCTATTTTTTAGTAGAGACGGGGTCTTGCTCTTGCTCAGGCTGGTCTCGAACTCCTGACCTTGAGCGATCCACCCACCTTGGCCTCCCAGAGTGCTAGGATTACAGGCGTGAGCCTAGAATTTTTAAATTTACAAGAATACCATATGAAGGTAAGTGTCAAGCTCAATTTCTCACACTGACTATACATTAGAATCACCTGGAGTGCTTTAAAAAAAACAGTCATGGTGAATGAGCCTCCCCCTAGACCAGTTAGGTCAGGATCTCAGAGATGTGTCTCCATTTGTATTTTTAAAACTCCTCATGAGAGAGTCACTGTTCTAGATGTATTCCAATTAATTTGAAGATTTAACTATCTGAAACTTTATTCTTATAGGCCTCTTCAAAAAGAGGAAGTTTAGAAACTAAAGATGATATGCCATTGCGAAAAGTTCTTGGTAATCCAGGTAGAGGATCGATTAAAACTGTAGCAGGAAGTGGAATAGCTGTTACCCGGACGGTTCCTTCTTTGACAGCTACATCAACACCTCTCAGATCAGGATTACTAGAAAATCGGTAGGAAAGACTTCTTTTCCTTATTCGTTAGCTTTACCTATTTATAAATGTCTTCTAGGCCTTTTAGAAAGATCAGTAATTTGAAGAGAAAGAAGTATAGAGCACATTTTTGGTAGATGATGATAAATATTTGTCATATATAGTTTATGTCAGTGATGTGGATTGAGCATGCAGATATACAGTATGTTAATTTAACACATTAACTGCCATGTGAGTTGTATTGAACTCATGCTAGTTTTGATCCTGGGGTCTTGTGAAGCATATGTAACTCACATGTCTTCATCTTGGGAGTAGTGAGAACTACTTTTCAAGTTGCATATAGCACACAGAAAATAATAAAAAATAATTTTTTCATTAAATTAGAAAGGATCATTTTGTTTTTGAAGTTTTTATTCTATTTCTGTAATAAAACACCATGTCTCTGAGGAAAAAAAAATTTTTTTCTAATGTGGCAGTCAGTGTGTTAAATATGGTGTAGAGAATTAGATAACAGTAGTCATAGTGCCTGTCCTTGGGTATGTTGGTTTATAATTTTTAATAGTATGAATTATGACTTTTTAAAATAACCTTTTTTTCCTTCTGCTCTCTATAGGACTGAAAAGAGGAAAAGAATGCTATCTGGCTCAGAGTTGAGTGAGGATTATCCTAAGGAAAATGATTCATCATCGTAAGTTGCTTTAAGAGCCTTTATGGCACTAGATCAGTGTTTCTTATAATTATAACCACTGGGGAATATTGGGGGAATGGTGTTTAATTTATGAGAATTCCAAAGATAGAAGAGCAGAATTTAAAGCGTTTGATGATAGTAAACTGTAGGCTCAACAGAGAAGGAATTTGGCCAGTGCTATTGCTTTGGTCATTTCATTGCATTTCCCCTATCCTGCCTTTTTTTATCTGTAATAATTGGGGGAAGAATGGAGCTGAAGAACTCTAAACAAGTGTTTCTTGCAGGCTGCTGTTTTAGTGTGAACCCCTTCCTTCTTTCTTCCTTTTATGCTTAATTTTAAAATTTTTATTCTTTCTTGCTTTACTCATATAAAAAGTCAGCCTAGGGGTAAAAGGTTGTGAGCCTACATGGGTTCTAGACAAGGAGCATTAACATTTCAGAGATGTTTTCTTGGTTGAACAAAAAGGAATAGTTCTGTAGCAGAACAGTCACCAGCTCATAATCCTCTTCCTCATCATGTGAGGATTTTTTTTTTTTTTTTTTTTTGTCTTCTGCGGGAGAAAACTTATTACATAGTTAATACCTCAGATAATACCTTAACAGAAATAGTTGATAGTCATTTAACTGGTATTTGAGGTCAGGAGGTCACCAGAAAGGAACTGGGAAAAAGCCAAAGAAACTTTGTATTAATTGTTTACTGCTGTAACAGGTATAAAAGTCTGGGTAGGTAATAGGACTGGTATTTGAAACTATAGTCACCCTGGACTCAGATTCCTTCTAACTTGTTGATCTACTATCCTTAACAAGTAGCTTTCATTTTGTGGACACTCTCCACTCTCATGTTTCCATTCCTGCTAGTGGAAAGGAGCAAAAGGAGGGCCTACCTGCTTTCCTTTAGGCTGGAAATTGTACACACTGCTTTTGTGCATATCACAATGGCCAGAACTTAGTCACATGATTATATCAAGTTATGAGAGAATATGAGAAATATGCTTAGCCAAAATTTGACTATTATGGCACAAGGGTGCAATGTTTATTTGGGGGCAACTATCTGCTTACCCCTTTGGCCACCGAAATGCCCCATTCACCATTCTTCCTGTACATAGAACACCCTTACCCCCATACTAATGGAGACAGGTTCCAAGTCTCATGGGAACATCATATCCAGCTCAGAGTCTAGGATCTCTGGGTGATCCTTCTCTCTGGGTATAGTCTTCTCTATAAGGTCCAAATGTGGCTTCAACCATGCCCCTCATGGTCTCGTGCCTAAAAACTAAAAGGCAAGTTAATCTACATTGCCCACTCCTAAGCGCATGCCCATGTCATTGTACATAGCCAGAGTAGTAACAGGATAATCACAATAAAAATGTCTGTTAAGAAAGATAAGAATAGGAAACTGGAGGAATCCCTGGTCTATAGCAGTGTCAAAATCTTGCTAGGTAGAAATTGTGAAATGAGTGAAGGCAGTGGAATAAGTTCCTAGTTAGCTCATCTGGCAGTCTGGTTCTGTTCTCTGGGAGAAATGCCCTTCCTCACTGTACTCCATAGACCCCTGGCTTTGTCCTCTGGTAGGTTTTCCTTGTCTGTTTTCTTCGAAGCCCATCACCAAAGTAGATTTTCAAGACTATGTTCTTCCTTAGGGCCACATAGCTTACTTTGTAGCTTACTTATGCAAGTTTGGAAGTGTCCAGAAGTCGGAAAAATTCTTTAAAGGTAAAACAAGCATGCTTTTATAGGCTTGAGAAAGAATTGGGGCCAATATTTTTTATTTAGTTTTTTGTTTTGTTTTAATACACTTTTTTATTTTGGAATAATTTTAGATTTATAAAAAAGTTGGAAAGATAATATAGACTGTCCTTGTAGGCCCCTTACCCAGTTTCCCCTAGTACTAATATCAAAGTTGTTTTTTGACAAAAATGCCTCTCTAGTTAACTCTTATCATTGCCTCAGTTTGAGAATCAGAAACAATTGGATTTTTTTGACCCCATATAGTCTCAGATTATTATCAGGTAATTTTGATTCTAGGCTGTTGGCACAGAGAGCTGTGTTTCTTTTCATCCATGATTGCAAGCTGACTAGTTCTAGCTTGAATTTCTCTGTCTTGAATAGGATCATTCTGAAAGCAATAAGAAACAGTAACACAGGCCAGTGTCCTTAATTGTCTTCATCTTTTCTCTTAGAGCTCTAGGTGGTTCAGTGAGTATGAGGTCTGCCTTTCAAGACATTATAGATGACAGTTTTTTTTTTTTTTT